TTGTCAGTGCTGCCGGAGGCTGGGTTCTTCTGCACACTCTCAAGTGTTTTCTTGCTTTTTCTCAGCCTCTGTCCTTTCATTGCACACTGACACGTTTTCAGAAAAACTTGGAAGCAAAACTAGGAGGTCGGCTTGACCTGCAGCCGACAGCCCACGTAACAGACTATTATTGAAATTTTGTCTTCTATGAAAGATCCATATAGACCCATCCACCTTTCTTGCCAAAAGAAAGCAGGAAACGTCTCCAGCTGCCTTTTAATTTTAAGATCGTTTGCTTTTATACTGAACTACACATATAGTAACTGCATCACTGCTCTACAGTCTTGTAGGCACAGCTCACTTTAACACAGACAACACATGCATATTTTGTATGTCACAGGAGACTTCTCAACTACATACACAGGTTATGGTTAAAGGACTAATACACAGTATGAGGCCTGATGAAATATGCAATATATATATAAAACAGTCATTATAAACACAATGTAATCAAATATTAGATTTAAAAAAACAGTGAAAACAACCTAAATGTTGGTTCTGGGTTTGAAACATGAAAACATGTTGTCAATGATTCAACTGATAGTTACCAATATTTTCTGCTTTAAGATAAAAAGACTGGTTTGACACTAATCTTTACAAATCTCATTATCTTACAGATCTTTAGAAATGTATTTTACTAAGATATAGACTAAAAAATACAACAGTATTTTTGTAGGCATCTGGGACTTTGTGATATATTGGATCAGACATATTGTACTAATTCAAACAAAATATTCAAATTATTACAATGATCAAAAACTAAATCAAAAACGAAAATCATTTCCTGCTATTCTACACATTTTTTTCCACTTTTCATAAAGTCAAAAAAATAGTGCTCCTAATATTTTGTTTAACATTTTTTTTTATTACCCACAGGTTTGGGTTTGCAATAATGAATGCCATTTTCATCCAGGTCCTGTAATTAATCATTAAACATTAACATTTTTGCCATTACCTTGGCCGGTTGCAGAAACAGAGGCTCTAAATTTACAGATGACTGAGCACAAAACATGCTCTCAGTTTTCACAAGCGCAGCAACTTCGACCTGAACACCAACAGTTCAGATGTGCATCAGTGTTTATGTTCAGGTTGCGCCTGCTAGGCTTTGGCGTAAGTGTTCAAGGAAGTATTACATTCACGAACACATTAAGCGGCACATCCAGTTTCCTGCAATTTTAACATTCCCTAAAAATACTGTTACACCGCAGAGCCACAGTGAAGCTCGGTTGTTAGGAGAAGGAAAAAAAAACAGACGAAAGACCAAATGCAGACTCAGCTTGCCTCAAGCTAAACCAGCCTCCCAGCAAGACAGGTCTGCCTAGCATTAAAACAGACAAGTGAACATTTCATTTGACACACAGAATGCCCAAAAAAATTTCTGGTGAGAACTGATTGCATGGTGTGTGTACCAAAATACCAGTCTGAAATTGACATTTTTTTCTTATCTCCATAATTAGTCCTTGTTATTTTCAGAAAGCCAAAGTCTTGGAAAAAAGCTTTATTTAAAAAAACAGTTTGCATACAGAACAGTCAGCCAACAAATTATCGCACGTCTTTTTTGCAAAACTTTAGTTTCTATTCAAATCACACTAAGCGAGTTTTATGCATTATCCTGAAAAAGGCCCAAGGGGAGAGAATAGATAATATGTTAGATATAAAATTTTGAGGTAATTACTCAAATGAACGAAAGGACAAAAAAAATTATAATTTCCACAGGCTATTTGTATTGGTCCACTGAATTTCTTATCAGCTAACTTCAAATTCCATTTTAGCTTTTAGTATGAGGTAATGAGTCTATTACTGAGGGTGCACACACAAAATTGAACAGGCAAAAACAATTAAAAATTAACATTTTCATTCAGCAAGGTTCTCAAAGTTTCAGCAAAGGCTACTTCAGTAATTAAATTGTACGTGCCTAACTTCTTCCTATAAGGCATCAAGAAGACTACTTCCTAGTTGAAAAAATACATTTTTTACAGACTAGCATAAGATTGAGGAAAGCAAGTTTTAAAGCATTAAAAACAGCATTATTAACACCTGCCTGTGGTTACCAGTGGGTGGTCACCACAGCTCAACAAGACTGAAGAAACTATGAAGTACTAGTGGAGAGAAAAGACGACATTCATTTATTCAGTCAGACTTTTTTTTCTCCAGGACAATTATGAGTAGTCTTTTTTTTCCTCAATAGACTGGCTGCTTTTATGTTGGCAGGAAAGGAGAAGTGTTTCAGAGTACCTCTTCACTGAGGTACCTCTTTCAACTAGGCTGGTTTTAAAGAATTCAGTGTGAAATAATGAATATGTCTAAGCATTGCTGAACAGTGCAGGAGATTTTACATAGCAGGATCGCAGTTTTGCTGTGAACACACACAAAACAATTATAACCAAAGCAAACAATCCTAGGAAAAAAGAACAAAGAAAACAAAATGTAATTATGTAGTAATATTTCACTGAGATACAGTTTAAGAAACTGTGGCATCCGTTTAAGCTGTCAGCTTGACACAAAGAAAAATGGCAATTCTTTGATTCCATAATTGTAGTAATCAGTGTTTGTCTCATGTTGTAGCTATGACAAGCACTCCTTTCTGTAATGAACATGGGAGCAGTAAGTTAAAAAAAATAAAATAAGTCTAGCTTATCATCACACTCCTCTAATGAAAAATGAAGGGACATCAGATAAGATTTTTGAGAGGGCTTAGCAAACAGACAGAAAAGGAAGCCCCCCGCTGCTTTTGTCACCTCTGCCACTCCTGCAAGCACTTGTCAGGGTTCATTTCCCCCACAGCTGCCAAAAGACCCCCTCCCACTTTTCTACTGGAGCCAGACCCCCTCCAAAAAAACTGACAGAGGAACAATTCTTAGCAGAGACCCTCCAAATTACCCTAAAAACACAGTAATATGGGCAAATCATTCTCCTGTGCAAGGTTCTGGCACAACCAACTAGAAAGTTTTATTTGTAAAATAAAACATTGTCAAATAAATGTGTATTTCTCAAAGCCCAAACCACATTTACTTCTGTAAGTTATGTTAAAATTTAAACTAAAATTAAATTAAAATTTAAATTATCCTTAAAAACATATCAAGACCTAATTGTACAAGAGTTTCTTTGACTTTAATACTTCCCAACAAACAATGTGATAGGTCTTTTTAATACATGCAAACATTAAGCAGAATAAAATGGATACTGTCTGCTGTAAAATCATAATATTTATGAAAGACTACAGCAACAATATCAAAACTGCAAAAGCAATTTAGTTATTTTATGGCATCAGAGTGTTACTCCACACCATTCTTGTGAACATGTAAAATTGGTTCGAACTGAATAAGAGAAAATATAAGTAATGCCTTGTGACACCAATTTTTAAACTGTTTTTTTTTTTGTGTGTGTGTGTGTATGTATGTGTGTCATACTTTATTTACGCACTCAAGGATGACCTAGTTCCTTTGCAGCAGATCTTACATACTGAATTACAAGACAAATAGCTTGTATTTTTTGTTATCTCTCACCCACCCTCACCCTCCTGATCTAATTATAAAGTCATCTCAAAAACACACTGATGGATTGTGGAAAGTGACAGACACAGAACTGTGGAGCCAGACTTCATTGGAATAATCATGAACTGCTGTGCTGGTGACCCACAAAGTAAAATAAATAGAAAAGCTTCAAACTTCTGAATTAATGATCACAATAGCCTTATTGTAGTGGGTTTTTGGACAGCGCTGAGCATAGAAGGGGTGACATGGTGAATTTAATCTACAGAGACAAAAAAGGCAGTTCTTAGATGTCTTGCTGTGATGTTTGGATGTAGAGCTGGCACCCTGAGTAAGGGCAGTCTGTTCTCACATGGTCCGCCAAATACACACGACTGCAGCATCCAGGCAAGCCAAAGAGAGTGCCAGAGAGCAGTGACTTTTAGGATTTACTTCACACTTGGACCCTAAATGGCATCTGATCAAGCATATAAGACTAGTTTAAAGCAAAGTCAGAACGATTTAAAGTTCTCAAAAATATGCATATTTTCAAAGTACTGTATCTGACACATCTCTCATAGCTCTTGTCCTTGCAATTTAAAACAGGAGAACTCTGTATTAGATTCCCAACTTGCTTGTTTTTGTACCGGTTATTGCAGAAAAGACTGTGCACTCCCTTAACCCTCTCTATTTCAAAGCATAACCCTGGGCCAGGACACAATCATGTAAACTAAATGCTTTGTCCAAGTCCTTGATCCAAGCAATATTTCAGCAAACGCCACTGTAATAAATCCTAAAAGTTCCTCTGTATTTGCAAAAAGAAACACAGGCCTGCTAACATGAGAAATTACTTAAACAACTTTAAGACCTAATTAGTTTTTATTTCCTTTCACAAGTGCTGTCTTGTTAATAGGATTTCCAAAAACATCTTTAGAAAACGACGTTTTCAAAGATTCAACACAGCAGTTAAATGGGGTGCTGTAATTTGTCTGAACTTTAATTAATTGTGTTGTCTGTGACCATTTTTCTCAGACTGAACTAGTCTAATTAAGATGCCTTTTAAATGTGAAGTGACACATATTAACAAACATAAAGCCTTAAATTTGTCTCTGTCTCTGAATATGTGAAAAGCCCTTTTGTTCCGGGGCTGACAGAGTACTTCTAAATGCTTCTGTTCCCCTGGAAACCCTTTTAAGAGGTGAAGGGGAGGACAGCCAAAATGGAGATCATCCTGGTCCAAAATTGCAGGTAAATCCTCACTAAGGCCATGCAATTTCAACAGCTTTACTATTAAAATATAACGAGGAACAAAAGGACTCAACAAATCCAGCATAAAAGTCATCTTCTATTGATTAAATGAATTTACGTTTGCTGTGCTCTCTACAGAAACCTGTGTTGAGTGCAGAATATTGTACTGTATCAAACAGGGAATTTGATCAACTGAACTGCATTATAAACTGAACAAAACAAAACACAAAGAAAAAGTCCTACCTCCAGAATGCAGGTCCCTGGAGCTGTGTTTTCCTTGATGGACACGTTGTAGAAGTGTCTCTCGAAAACGGGCTCATTGTCATTTATATCCTGAAGTAAGATGTTTACCACAGCAGTTGATGAAAGAGATGGTTTTCCACCATCTGTAGCCACTACAGTTATACTGGGACTAGGGTTCTTTTCATAATCCAGCTGGGATAAAGTGGTAATAATGCCCGTAATGGAGTCTATACTGAACCAGCTGTAATAAGCACTCTGGTCTTGAAGGATGCTGTAGCTAATGTCTCCGTTGGGTCCCTGGTCTTTATCTCTTGCAGTAACCTGCAACACAAAGCTCCCTGGGAAAACTACTTCAGGGATGACTTGTCTGTACACTGGCTGGTCAAACAGAGGAGGGTTGTCATTGATGTCAGTCACTTGGATGGTAAAAGAGGACTCAGCCCTGAGGGGAGGTGTACCTGAGTCTGTTGCCATCACCCTTAGTTCATAAGTGTCTCTCTCCTCACGGTCCAGAATCTGGTCCACACAGACAAGATATATAATGCTATCTTTTGTGGTCAGGGCAAACTTTCCATCCCCTCCCTCTAATGACACATTGACATTGGCATACTCTCCATAGTCTGGGTCAGTGACTGATATCCGTGCTACATACTGACCAGGCTGTGCACCTTCTGAGATTCTGGGAGATCCATCCTCACTCAGAAAGATGATGGTCATCGTGGGCTGGTTGTCATTATAATCTCTGACATGTATAGTGACAAACGCATTGGTCACTTCTGGATGGGTTGCATTGTCTTGAGCCTGGACTACAAGTTCATGGACTCTCCTCTTTTCAAAGTCCAGGGGCTTGTTCAAAGTGATGATGCCAGCACGAGAGTCTATGACAAAGTAGCGGTCTGGGTCACTCTGTCTTCTGTTGATTTCATATATCACCATCCCATTATCTCCCTCATCATCATCTGTTGCAAACACCTGCAGGATGTTGCTTCCTGGTTGGAGGTTCTCAGATATGATAGCATGGTAGCGGCTCTGATTGAAAACAGGAGCATTGTCATTAATGTCTTGTACAGTAATATCTAATGTCATCTGATCTGTTCTTTTTGGGGAACCTCCATCAAAAGCCTCTAAAAATAAGGTGTAGGTGGATCTTTTCTCTCGATCTAGAATGGTATTTACCATCAGGTCCAAATAGAGGACCTTATTGCTTCCCCTCCTTGTCTCCAAGCTGAATGCTTGCCCAACATTTCCATCCTTGATAAGGTAGCCCTGTGTTGTGAACTGGTCTTTATCATTATCAACAGCTGGCTCAAGAGGAAATCTGGTGCCAATTGCTGTCTGCTCGGGAATTTTAAATGTAGCCCTTTTACGAGGGAACTTGGGTGCATGATCATTTATATCATTCACTTTGATGGTTACGTCTACAGTCACACCTGTCATGGTGACTGCAATGAAGTTGTATTGATCTCTCAATTCTCTGTCCAGAACCCTAGCAGTTCTAATTATGCCTGTGCTTTCATCAATGTCCAAATCACTGCTCACTCCTGTGCCCTCATGGTCTGAAATGAAGTACAAGGAAGCTGTGACACCAGGGGGAAGTCCTGCACTGATGTCTCCCACCACTGTTCCTGCTGGTTGTTCCTCGTCTAGCTGTAGTTCAAGGGTACCAAGGACAAAAGATGGATGGAGTGTTAAAAGCTCCAAGGCCACATACACCATTAGAAGTATCCGTGTGCTCCACCAATTCTCACAGTGTAAAGGATCTATCGTAAACTTCCCCAGTCTCCTGGCAACTGTCTTCATTTTTGCTCCTTTGGTTTAAACCTGGAAACACACAAAAGGGAAAACCTGAGTTATATCAAAAATTCACAACACCAAAACTATTTGTGTAATATTTTATAAAAACTAAAAATAGGAACATCTGTAACACTTCACTATTTATATTTTATTGGTTCCCTTCTGTACCATACCGCACAGACTATGCCCAGCATTTAAAATTTTCCAGTATGTCTCTATGTGTTTCTGGCCTATAAGGCAACACCTTGTTCACGTTGTACCAGAAAGCTCTACTTTGCTAAAAGAAACATCAAAATCCAGGCCACAGAATACCACCTCAGACAGGGTGTCTGAGACTGTTGCTATTTGGTTCTAATTAAAAAAGGTGTGAAAATTACTTTTGCCTAGACAGTCTTGCATGTTCACCATAAATGCACCCTCTCATACATGACTGGAAAGTTAACGTTTTGCATTTATAAATGCCAATAAATTCATTTATCAAAAAAATGAGCATAAGCAGTTTTAAATCACTTCTGTGAAAACATTTATTGCATATTTCTCCCACCAATACTACCTATCATTCTAGGGTTTTTTTTCCAACCTAGGAGAAAAATAATAAGCATCAATGACCCTGTGAATAAGCAGCAGGCACATTTTAGCCTTGGATCCACACCATCAAAGACAATCTGTGACTGAAAATGGGAGACACAGTGGAGAAATGTGGAAATTGTTCTGCAAGACTGTCACCATCTGCTGAATAATCCCAAACCACTAAGTATCTGGCACACCAAAAATCACTGTCATTTGCATTAAACTCAAAGACTAGCTCCTATTATGTGTGGTTTTGCCTAAATTTGTGTAATTCAAACTACTCAACTTGCTTGCAAAGATGTTTTTTTCTTAAATTTTGAGGAAATGTAAACAGAGGAATTTTAGGCACATTCAGTTTGGAAGTAAGTGTTTTAAAACAAACACTCCAAGGCTCCCTCCAGTGGTTTAACTGCCATCTACATATAATAATTCACATGACATCTGTGTGTGTGTGTGTGTGTGCGTGTGTGTGCATGTGGTGTGTGTGTACCAACGAAATCCCTCCCATGTGTCTGAACGCAGTGTGGTGATCTGTTTTAGCCACGGTAGTAGCAGTGTGTTTGAGTGACAGAGTAGCAGGCTACAGCAGAATTGAAGGGCTCCACGCAGTCTACCTCTTTCCCTTTTTCTGGCTCTACAGCATTATAATTGAGGTTCTCTGGAAATTGGCCATGTGCACACAAGATTCCAGGCCTAATTTCAGTCTACCATGAATCAGAGCCCACCACACTGAAGATGCTAACTCTAATGTCATATATTAGTTTGAGTTCATCTACAGTGAGTAGTAAGAAACCCATATGAACAGTCGTTTTGATATATGTCATAAGAGACGGTGCTGTTAATGTGTTTGACGATCTAATATTATTTCAGTTTGGCAACTAAAATGAGTTCTGGCTTGATGGGCTTCACCCATTTTGATTTTATATTTCCTTCACAGAAACCATTAAAACTTCAAGTGACAAGACTATAAAAGACAAGCATTAGTATGTGCTCCATATCTTTGGATGTTCTTGTTATTTCTGTTCTTGGCAAAACAAACATATAAGAACATCTACGACAACCTGAAAATCCTGACTGCACATGATCTTTGAAGTCTCAGTATTGATTTACTTTACGACAACACTGGGGGACGAACTTCAGCATTTTAAGACCTAAATCTTTGACCAAATGCCACAACTGAAATAATGCACTTTCTAGTTGAGCCACAGTGGAGGACCTCTGCAGAGCAGCATGGCCTAATGGATGTAGCAGACACAGCTGGGTAAGTTAATTGCACAATACCAGGTTGAGGAAAACATATTGCTTTAAAATATGTGACAATGAAGAAATGATTCCTGTGTTTTAGTTAAGAAGTTTACAAATGGTCTACCATCAATGCAGAGATTATGAGCTTGATATGTGAAACCTGGTAATCAGCAGTGAAGGGTTTTATTCATCCATAGTTCTTAAGAGGCAGTAATCTGTAAAATAAACACTTTGGAAAAGCTGATAATTATTTGAAATAGTTTATTTTTTTATAATCCAATTTTGGTTTGAAAGTTCCTCTTGCATCACTAGCACAAATTATGCACACTTTCAGTGGTTAAGCAGTGATAACGACTTTAGTTATAGTGATGGAAGCACTGAAGAACTGAACCCCATGAACCTTCCACCAAGAAACAATGATATATATACAGTT